ACATACTTTTCATGACCTTAAAGACTGGCTTGCTGCTCGAAGTGGCTGAGCTGCAGAGCCTGGTACCAGCTTGCTGAGACTCAGGACGGCATTGGCACTGCGGAGCCGGCCACATCACCGGGCATGCCAGAGGCGCTTTCTCATTAACTACCCGATTAATCACACCAGCTCCTCGAGGAAGGTGTCACACTCCCTGTTTTATAGCTGAGGAAACACGTTCAAAAGATAGATCACTCGCCCAGGGCCACACGGCTCGCAGGTGCTGGAGACCGGCCAAGGCACCACGAAGTGAGCTGATGGGAATGCAGAGGGTCCTCAGTGCTGACGCTCCGGCCTGGGCATCCGTGGGCTGCTCGGCCTCTCCCCGCTCCTGCCCTCCCTCCCTTTATTTTCACACATGCACCTTGTTACTCTTTTTCCTTACGTTTTATTTATTTCTTGAGAGACACCCAACAAGTCTCCTTGCTGTGAGCCCACCCCCAGCCAGCCAGGATCATGGGCAAACATGCATGTGCCTGGGAAAGCCAGAATGTGAACCTTCCCATACGGTTTCAGCATCACCCAGTGTCGCGTTACCCGGACGGTCTGCTCAGTGACTTTCTTTCCTCTTCCTCCACAAAACCTTCCTGGTGGATTTCCTGTGCTTCCGAGTGCTTAGTACTTCCAAGCCCGCTGGAGTAGCCTGGGAACAAATGCAGACTCGTCCTGCAGGCAGGTCTGGAGCCCAGAGACAAGCCTGGCAGCCGCTGTGCCAGTGAACTGGAAGGCCTCTGGGATCCTGGCTCTCCCCTCCTGTGTAGGGGCAGGCCCGGGAGCCCAGGGCTGCTGCTCCAGCTGGCAAGTCTCAGGGAGAGCGTGGGTCCAGGCAGGCGCCCAGCTCGACGGAGCCCTAGGGCCTTGCTGTCACCAAGGACGGCCTGAGAGGTGCACAGATGGCGTTCGCAGCTCTGCCCGGGAGGTTGGTGCGCTCTCTGGGCAGCGCCCACCTCCCGAGGGGCTCGGCAGCACTGCGTCAGCCCTGCCCCGCACCCACACTTGCTCCGCTGCGGCCTCACTGCTTGTCCATCTCAGCTGGTGGCACAGCTTTGTGCTTTGGCATAAGGGGTATTAGAGAACATTTTCACGGTGGGGATGAGTGGGGTTCGAGACGTGTGAGCTGTCTGGGCGTGGACACCTCTGCCCTGGCTCAGGGAGGGTGTCGGGAGGCCTCGAGCCCAGCTTGTCCTCCTCGGGGAAGCATTTCGTTTGGCCCTGACTCTGCTGCCTGACACCGGCTGGGAGGGAACCAGAGCCTGCTGCGGGAATTCGGGACTGTGTACCTCAGATGAGTCTCAGGAATCTTTGTTGGGCTACGTAGAGGGGCAGGGAGCTGGGACGTCACCTGCCCTCCAGAACAGGTGGCATGACTGCGTGCGTGCATGCGTGCTGTGTGCCGTCTGCAGTCGGTCTGAGACTGCTCTCCTGTGACAGCCCTAAAGGTGTGCATGTGTGTGCGTGTGTTTGCACGGGGCAGATGTGCTTGTGTACCTCTCAGCTCTGCGTGCAGACATCACGAGTCAGCTTGAAATCACTAGGAAAATGAGCAAGTGATAAGTCAAGGGTGTTTTTCCTAAGAAAGTAGATATTAGACATTTACCTACACACCGTGCGTCTACTGGAGCTAAGCGGCCCGGCTGGTTTAGGACAGTTCGTGCTGGAGCTAAGGTAGAGCCTCCCCCTTTCCTTTGCTTTTAGTTCCTGATGATGTTCACAATGCTTTTAAACTTGCCGTCCCAGAACCCGTGGTGGTCAGTGTTTATGTATTTGCCAATAGTTTAAAAATGATCATGGCAGTTGAGTCCGTGGCACAGCGGCTAAGAATGCTGACTCCCACATGGCTGACCGTGGTTCAAATTCTGGCCCTGCTGGCTTGTAAAACATGCCGAGTGTGTGTGTGTGAGTGTGCCCCAAACCCCAACTGGGTGAGAAATGGAGGGAAAGGGATTGTGGCATGACCACACCCATTGGGGCGAGCCTTCCCCTCTCTCTGTCTCTCTCCAGTGAGCACATGTGCCCACTGGCCATTAAAAAATTATAGAAGAGGAACCAGCAGGTGGTATGGTGGTTAAGGTGCTGAACTCTCACATGGCCGACTGTGGCTTGAGTCCTGGACCCGGTGGTTTGAAACTCACACTGGACTTGTGTGTTTGTGCCCAAAATCCTTAGAGGAGAAGGGAGGAGAAGGGATTGTGGCGTGGCCTTCGCCCTGGGGGTGATTTCCTACTTTTCCTCTCTCTTTGGCAAGGGCATGTGCCCTTTAACAAAAATCTTTAAACAAACAAAGATCAAAGCAGCACACACTCACTACAGATGATATAGAGAAGTCAAAAAGCTGAAAAGTATCCATCATTCTATCAGGCAAAATGATCATTTTTAAAATATAATTTTACAAAGTTAAGTTGTTTAATGGTTTATCTTTAAGAAAGAAAGGAAAAATAGGGAAGCACTCTCCTTACCTGTGTTGAGATGAGCTTATTTGCTGTGCTTTCTTAACTGGGGAAGGCCAATTAAAATAATTTTCAATCTTTCATTATCACTTAAGATAGCCACGATTAAGACAAAAACAAAAACAAAACAGAAAAAAACCCCTGCTTTTCCACGAACTTAAATCAAGTGCCAGTTTCTGCCTTCTGAGTCCAGTCGCCAACAAGTTTTATTTTCCGACTTCGCACATTAGCAGCAGTTTCAAGGATTAGGAAATAACTGAACTGTCTTCAAAATTCTCACAGCCTGCTACCTACGAGTGCCCTGAGGAACCATGCTCTAAAACGAGTTCGGTGTTTGGAATCCTAAAGCGCTCAGGGCCGGCAGGTGGCCCGACGGTTAAGGCCCACGTGGCTGACCGTAGTCCGAGCTCTGGACCGGGCTTTTCTCACTTTCCCTTTCTCTCTGTGTCACTCCTGTCAAGCTAAAGTAGTAGTAATAATAAATAAAATGAAATAAAGTGCTTTAAAACACACAAAAAGCAAGTTGCACAGAGTCGGCCATCTCTGCCGACTCCCATTTGCATGCAGGCGGTAGCTGCCAGCCGTGGGCAGGTAAGCACACATCAGTGTGCGCTGAGATGCGCTGGCTTTGGAACTGAGACTGCTTTTGGAATAAATCAAGGATCCAGATGTAATAAAAGAAGGGATGAGAGTCCCTTCTCCTCCAGCACGCGCACCTTGTTACCCTGCGTCTGGGTGATGCTAGCCCGGCACAGCTGACCACCCTGCACCTGGCACTGCGTTAGGACCGGCCTCCGGCCTCTGACCTCGCAGGCAGGATGCTCCCTCTCCTAAAAGCGCCACGTGTCATGGAAACAGCGCCTGATGACTTGTTTAAGGTCATGCACGTGAGGATCATGTATGTTCCAGAACTGTAAGATAAACTGTTAGCTCTGGGCTCCGGGTGGTAATACTGTACCACTGTAGATTCATCTGTCATGATGAAGACCAGCGGACTTCAATGGAAGTATGAGTTTATCTTGGTTCAAAGAAAGTTTTGATTTCAGTGTCCAAGTTATATTCTCTGACTTTAGCATGTTAGCAGCAGTTTCAAGGGTTATGAAGTAAGAGCTAACCAGTCTTCAAAGTCTTCACAGTTTGCCATGTAGATGCTCCCTGAGAAACCATGCTGTAGACGGTCTTCAAACTCCTCACCGTTTGCCACGTGGGAGCTCCCTGAGAAACCATGCTGTAGATGGAGCATGGTCTATGGAATCTTTTAAAAAAACAAAGGCCTTTTCTAATTGCATAGTGATAAAGTAGACATCAGTGTATTTGTGTTTTCTGTTTCAGAATATGCATTTTCTACAAACTTTATGATGACCCCCTGTATTCCACTCTGGTGGTGGTGGTGGGGGGGGTGTTCGTAACGGGGGAGGCTGTGCCCCTGTGCAGGGAGAGGGTATAGGACATCTTTGCACCTTCCTCCAGTTTTGCTATAAACCTAAAACTGATTTTAACAATTAAGTCTACTAGGGCCAGCAGGTGGCATGGTGGTGAAGACTCTGGACTCCCACATGGCCAACTATGGTTTGACTCCCAGACCTGGAGTCTTGCTTTCTCAGTTTCCCTCTCTCTCACTCTCTCTGTTCAAATTTAAAAAACAATAATAGTGATAAATAAAATTTTAAAAAGGAAGAATAAAAACTAAGTCTACTAAACAAGAAAGAAACTCTTCCACTTTCCAGGGAAGCCATCCCCAGGGTGGGAACTCTGATACTTCCACTGTGCCACAGGAGAACCAGGACCCGAGGGGGCATTTGGGGATCCTCTGGACCTCAAGCTGTTAGAAACTGGAGATTTGAAAAAGATGGGAAAGGAAAGGAAAGGAAAGGAAAGGAAAGGGAAGGAAAGGAAAGGAAAGGGAAGGGAAGGAAAGGAAGCAAGCAAGCAGGCTAACTAGCTAGCTCGCTCGCTCATCGGAAGGCCTTATTTCCAACAGGCACGGCAAGCATTGATTCGTAAATGTTCTTAGTTTGAAGTGATGTGAGAGAAAAACTGACTTTTTATTTTGGCTGATTACTTTGAGAGAGTTGTTTTTTGAAGATGCGGTTTATCCTTTTCAGCTTGGCACATGGCAGGCATGAAGGTAGAGCCAGGCATGGGGTCAAAGGCTGTGTGACCATCCATGAGGCTCCAACCAGAGAACCCACAGATCTCCAGTGAGATCTGTGAAAGACGTGGTCAAGTGCCCACTTCGAGCAGATTTATTAAAGAAATTGGAGACGGGGCTAAGTTTTGTGTTCTGGGCGTTTCTGGGCAGAGCAGCAACAACTCCAGAGGGCGTAGGAGAGTGAAGGCCAGAGAGAACCATGCAAGAGAATGAATGTCAAAGGAAAAGTAATTCTGTTAGCGCCAGTTTGCTTAACTGCAGTGGTCACCTTGGGGAATACGGTGACAGCCCACAGGATCCCTCTGGTGGGTGTATTAAACCCCTCCCCTAGAAATGGCATCAACTCTCAAAACAGATGGGGTTTCTTAAGCCAGTTTAATAATAGAATCCAGAGCTAGCACAGAGGAATTTTGACCAGCAGAGCAGTTTAATCCAAAATGATGCTCAGAAGGTGAGACAATGACAGCCAGCACAGCTAGTTAGGTGTGCGCGTGCTCACGATCAATGACTCCCGAAGATTACAGCAGAAACAGAGAAGTTGCCTGGGCATCGATCACGCGTGCTGCTGGAAGGCAGACTCGGCCCTGCCGGGAGAAGGTCATCATACCTGCTACTTACTTTGACCTTGCTGGGACAATCAGAAGATGCTTTGGCACTCCAAGGGGAGGGAACTAGAGCCAGCACACATTCAAGGCCTGCGAGGTGTCAGGGCGGTGGGCGGGCCAGTGTTGGGGGGACAGCAGTGCCATGATCCCAGCCATGTATGGAGGGGGTAGAGTCAACAATGGGGCCGCTGGGTTCTGAAGAAGTCACGGAGCCTCAGGGACTAACAGAAATATGACTACTACAGATGGATGGTCTGACCCCCTTCCACTTTCTGGGATCCCAAAGCGTGTTTCACAACCAAGCTATTGGGTGGTTGGAAAAATCAAGACAGATTTTTCTATGCAAAAATGCATCATGACTTTTCCAATGACCCAGTAGTTACCGCTGCCCAAGTATCTATTCAAATTCGATCTTCATCGGCCTTCTGGTGTCTCTTAGACCGATGTCCTCTGCCATCTACCACCTGGCCCAGCTGAAAATTCTGAAGAAAGTCTTTAGCTCAGTGTTTCTACTCCTGCTTCAGATCTGAGTCACTGGGGGAGGTTTTCAAACATCAGCACTTCCCATATCCCACCCTACACCCCACCCCCTAAATTTGGACTCTCTTGGTGTGGAGAAGGGATGTATATTGGGTTTGGATGAGAGCAGAGCCCAGATGAATCCAGTACAAAGGGGCTTAGAAAAGTGTGGAACAGTGGGATGTATTTGCCAAGTATTTTGGTGCAAAATATTTGAAATCCATGTATAATTTTTTCTTCTAATACACATTTTCCATCCCCCCCCCTTTTCTTTGGAGAGGTTTTTGCTGTAGGGTGTGTGCACTCACCAAAAGGACGGAAATAGAGAGACAGAAAGTGAGAAATCACCCCCCAGGGGGAATGGCCACGCCTCAATCCACTACTCCTCCATTCCCCTCTTGGGATCTTGGGCACGCACACACACGCGCCAGGCATAAGTTTAAGCCACCGGGTCCAGGACTCGAACCACGGTCGACTACATGGGAGTCCAGCGACATAGTACAACAACTGCTGGTCCCCATGGGTCCTTTAAATACCCTTGGTACCGTTGCTTAACGGAATCTTGAGGGTCCCTGCAGTCTCTCTCCCACTCCTATCATAGCGACTTCTGTAGAGTTGATCCTGTATTGACCCTCATCTCGCTGGGATCTGACCTTTGCAAACTGTCTTGTCTACAGGAACTCTCAGCATACCTCCTGCATGGCTCCTGAGCACTCCCCGAGACTTCTTGAGAAATCCCCAGGCATATCAAAAGGTATTTAAGGAGAACCTTTACATCTAGACCAGGGTACGAGTCTCCAGGTTTTTTCCTTTGGCTGTTGTCTGTGAGACATTAAGAGAAAAAGCATCTGGGTCACAGCTCAAGGCTGCCCCGACTTATCTGCAGGGGTCATGCCATCGCCACGTCCCTGAGCACAGAGCTAGATGTGTGTAGCCTGGAAGGTTCTGCAGCTCAGAGCCAGCTTGCTGATTGGAGAGCGTTCTCACCTCCCACTGGGACAGAGCGGGCACCCACGTGTGTTCCGTGCCCCAGTGAAGCACGTGCCAAATACAGCACGTTTTTACTGCGAAATGCCTCGTCTCTGCTGTGGGACCCTTTCTTGTGTGTTGTCTAAACGTCCTCCTTTCACAGCCATGGAAATAGGACAGTGCACAGGTTCCAGATGTGGATGCCGGGGGCTGCCAGAACCGTTACTACCCTCACAACGGCATCCTCACTGGTGTCTATTACCTCGAGGTGCGGGCTCTTCTGGGCTGCTGTCCAAAAGAGTGAGACCTTTGCACATTGCAACAGCTTCGGTTAACCCCGAGGAGCCCTGGTCTCTGCAAGCAGAGGCGAAAGAGTGTAGAAGCCGAGGACACTTTGAAGGCCCCCTTTGCTTTGGAATATATTCTTTTGCCTTAAAGAGGAAAGACATCCATTTTGCCCAAATCCAGGACTGACAGGGAGGGACCCCAGTTGTGTAAATCTGACTTAGTGTTGTCAGGGGACCCTTTTCTTTTCTTTCTTTTTATTTTATTTTTTTAAATTTTTCATAAATGTTTTCGTGATGTAGAGTGAGTTTCCCAGAGCTCAGATTCTACGGCCTGATATATCACCCCTGAGTTCTCACCTGACACACAGATTTATGTATGTATGTGTGTATGTGTGTATGTCTCCTTTAAAGGGTAAAAGTTTTATTGCTGAGGAACTCTTTGTTTCTGCACATTTTCAAAGAGAGTCACATAAGTAAGCAAAAATGTTTTCCTCCCCCATGCTAGAGATAAATAAGGGGCATAAAATTTGTAGTTAAATCATGACACTTGGGAATTTAGCACCAGCATCCAAAAGGAACCAAAAAGGTGGTGGGAGCAATCAGTTTAGATTTCAGATTTCCTTGGTTGGGGTTCTTCGCACATGGTATTAGTATTTCCTTCAGTTCATATTACCCAACTATGCAAAAACAGGAAAAAATACAAACCTAGTTGGTTGTGCAGACGGAGGGGGGTGCTCTTTGCCTTCGGTGCGGGCGTTCCTGAGATGTGGACTTCCTGGAAAAACTTGCTGAAAGTTTTCCTTCGGCAGTTGTTAGCTTCTTAAAGAGTAATTGTAGGAGCCAGCAGGTGGCGTGGTGGCTAAAGTGCTGGGACTCCCACATGGCCAACCATGGTTCTAGTCCCAGACCTGAGGGTTGGTTTTCTTGCCTTTTCTCTTTCTCTGAAAATAAAAATAAAAATAAAAATAATAAATAATTATTAAATAATATATTATAAAATAATAAATAATTTATGAAATCAATAATTTGCCAAATTTGGACTTTTCTTTTTTTTTTTTAAGAGAGATTTTTGCTATAGGATGTGTGTGCTTACTGGAGAGACAGGGAGACATAAAGCAAGAAGTCACTCCCCATGGGAGATAACCACCCCACAATCCATTCTCCATTCTCCTTTCAGGATTTTTGTGCACACATGCACACGCACACGGCATGATTTTTAAGCTGCTGGACCTGGGACTGGAACCACCGTTGACTATGTGGGAGTCCAGTGACGTAACCATTACACCATATGCTGGTCCTGGAACCCATCGAATGGGACGATGCTTTCCTAGGTGTGTCCCCCTTTGTAGTTACTGGTAGGGATGCTACTTTTTCAAGAAACTGGAGCGGGGATTTAAAATAAAACATGGGTGGGGCCAGCAGGTGGTGTGGTGGACTCCCACATGGCCTGACTCAGTTCAACCCCTGGACCTGGCAACTTGAAAAATCACGCCAGACACGTGTGCCCAAAATCCTGAGAGGAGAATGGAGGAGAAGGGATAGTGGCATGTCCATCCCTTCTGGGGAGTGATTTCTCACTTTTCTCTCTCTGTCTCTCTCAAGTGAGTGCATGTGCCCTATGGTAAAATAAATTTAAGTAAATACCTAAGACCGAACATGGATTTAGGCTGCCCCGTGCCATTCAGGGAGCTCAGCAGAAGCTCTAGTATTTGCATTCTTAGGGCTGCAGCTGCGGAGGTGTCGACACACATACTTTTCCCAGGAATGACACTTCAAGATGTGCTTCTTAGTGGAAGACAGTCAACTACAATGCAGATGTAATGAACTCTGAGGTTGAAATGCAACCCAAATCCAATATCCCACGGAAAGTTAACCTAATCAATAATCCGATTGGAAGCTTTCAGCTGTGCCGATGACCCACTGCACTGGCCACACCTGCCTTCTGGAAGGCTCACCCCACGGTGGGGACCGTTCTCAGTTTTACCACCTGCTCCCACATATCCTGACCATGGCTCGATGCTTCTGAGCTCATCAGATCCGCCTCTGAAAGCCCTTCCTAGCCAAACTCAGCTCCTGCATCTGGGCCCCCTCCCCACAGTGCTGCTCCCTGCTCCTCCCTCAGTCCTCCATATCAAGCTTCCCCTAGCTTTGCTTTTCTGCCCCCCCCACCCCTCAGAGATTTCTGCTATAGGACGCGTGTGCTCACCAGAGAGACAGAAAGCGAGAAGTCAACCCCCCAGGGGAGAGGGCCATGCTGCAATCTCTTCTCCTCTGTTCTCCTCTCAGGATTGGGGGCATGCATGCACATGTTTGTGGCATGGGTTTTAAGCCTCTGGGTCCGGAACTCCAACTGTAGTCGACTACGGGGGAGTCCAGCAACTTAACCATTATGTCATCTGCTGATCCTTTTTGGGCAGCTTTCCTATACCGTAAAGAATCTCCCTTGGCCCCTTTGCTTCTGAAAACGGGGCTATTTGTCCCCCATCTACCCTTCAGAGGAGAACTTCCCTAGGTCTTGTGGTCTTTTTAAACGGTTCATTTTCCTGTGAGTGAGTGTATGTGACACAGAGAGAGGGTGAGAGGGTGGGGAGCACTCTCATGGGGTTTTGATGCTGCGATCTGTCCCTGGCCCCAGCCAGCCCAGATCACGGGCATGCATGTGTTATCTGTGAACCTGGACCCCCCCACGTGGGTCAGCGTCCCAGTGTCTCCTCTCACCACGGAGCCACCAGCCAGCACCCCGTGGCCTTTCATTCCTCCTCTCAATCTCCCCAGACCGGGGAGCCTGCTGAGCACTCTGTCCAAGCTGAACCTACTCCTGGTGATGACAGGGGGCCTCACCTCCCACCACACCGCTTCAGGCATGTTCTGGAGTCAGGGGTCCAAGGGGCTTCTCTGGCTGTCTTCTCGATGAAGCCCCCGCGCTGCCCAGGGTGAGAGGTGGGGGAACACACGAATCTGGAAGTCGAAGGAGATGGCAGCTGGGAACACAATGGGCCGTTTCCACGGAGCTATTAGGTGACATCATGGCAGAGGTGGGACTGTTGGCCAGGGAAGTGGAAATACTTCCACAGCACCGTTAATCCTCCGAAAGATCCGGACAGTGCTGTGCAGCCTGTCCTGCATGTGGCAGGGAGAGGAGTCTAGCAGTTAGAAGCCTGTACCACGGAGCGTGCTTAGAAAAGGCACAGGAAGCGAACGCGCGGCAAGTCTGTGCGGTTTTCCTGAGCTAAAGAGGAATGCAGGTTACTAAGCCTTTCGAAGAGTATTTCAGAGGCCAGCAAGGCCTTTTTATAGCAGTTTATTCACAGATGTGTGGACTTTGTCTTGGACAACTGCACTTGGAGGAAATGTGTGGGGGAGGTGAAGCCAGCACAGAGGGCCTGGAAGCAAGGGGTGTCCATGCGTGTTTGGCCTGGTTAGTGGTTCACAGAGCACACTTTGTGTGTGTACAGTGGGATCCAGACTTGAGACAGAGAGAGAGGCTTCCCAAGCCTGGCAGGTGAGAGGTCATCCCTCCAGCACCCAGTTCCGTAGAAATAACTGGAGGCATGTGTGGAAACACGCTCTGCACACCTGGTTGCATTTCGTGTGAGTAATCATGTGTTCGTGTGGGAAATGCATCTGGATTGCTGGATGTGGCACATGAGAACGCGAGGTGCCCAGTTCAGCGACACTGCTAGGCAAGGCCACTGCTAGTGGGAGGCTGGGCAGGAGGGTCCCGGTGTGGCAGGACCCCATTTAAAAATCTCCCATTCTCTCTCTCTCATTCATAAATCAACAAGCAAATCTTGTTTTGTTTTTAAAGGAGTGCTCAGTTCAATGGTGATGAGTGTAGAATTTGTTTTCGTGCACGGCCTACATGATATTACCTGTCCTGCATCTTCTCTGATAACCGCGAACTGACTCGAAGTCTCATTGGAGACTGGCATTTGGCATTCTCACCCAGACCCGTCGTCACCCTTGTGGGGGCCCGAGCCAAAGGCCTCCAGACGTGGCCGGTTTCCTCTGGCCTGACTTGGGGTGAAACGAACCCAAACTCCATTCCTTGTAGCAGTGGTTTCAAGAAACACTGCAGATTCTTACTCCCCAGACACGCCAGACGGTCCGTGTGGTTTTCTGCTGTTCATCCGTTTCTCCGGTTTTCCCTCTCCTCCCTCGGGGCTCCCTCCCCTTGACTTTTCAGCTGGTCCCTTTCCTTTCAAGGTCACTGTCCTCTCACCAGATTCCCTCTGCTTCACGCACAGCGGGGAGCCAGCTTTGCCCAAGTCCCAGCTGCAGCTGCCATGGAGGATGGAGACTGAGAGCACTGGGCATGCACTGCCCCTTAGTGAGGCAGGGCGGACAGGCCCCTGTGTGTTCGGGTCAGGGGACAGGGAGAGCTCGCTCTTCCAGAATGCAGGCTCCCAGAGGCCGAGTTCTGCCGGGCTGTCCACAAGGAGGCCGGGCCATCGCCCTGTGCAGGGTGAGCAGCCACCCCCCAGCCGTCCTGGTTAAGGCAGATGGTACCAAGTCCTGACGAGACCCTTTCTATGCTATTTTATTTTGTAAATACCAGGATGTGGGGGTGGGGGCATTGCACAATTTTCTTAGGAGCGCTCAACTCAAGCTCAAAGCCTAATTCAGAAGAATTCCTGTTTATTCACCCCGAAAGATTTTAATTAGAGCTGACAATCTGAACATTTCATTAGAATTAAAATCATGGAAAATTAATTCATGTTGCCAAGATTGTTTATTACAGAGAAGGAATTAAAACAACAACAACAGCAACAAAATACCTCAATGGTTATGTACAAAAGAGGCTTTTCTTGGCTACTGGTGGGCTTGCACCTCCCCAGCCGCCCTGAAACCTCTCCCTGGTCCTCTCTGCGGTGCTCTCAGCATTTCAGGTGCGCCAGAGCCCTGAGAGTTCTGACCCGCACCGGCACTAGTAAAAGCCATGATTATCTTCACCTGGAGGTCGTTCCTACCAAAGTTCTGCTAGATGGCTCCACCCAGTTCAGCAG